TCGGCAATCTTCTTGATCTTTTCTCTTTTGCAATTGCAAAAATGTTAGTCTCGAAGCCTAAGCGACCAAGTATCTCTCCATTCTAAGAGCTGCATTCATCCTGTTTCGTTTAAGGGGACGATCATATGAGAAGGCCATACTTTTCTATTCAATTTCACATAGACTTGCTCACCAAAATGTGACCTTTTCCAGGCAGGAGTGGGATTGCAGTTTCCACGTCGCCTTAACCTGGCCTCATTATCACGCCAGGCGGGACTCGAAGCCGGTTGCTTTAACCGGCACGCCACACTGCCACAGGATCCATACTTCAAGGAGGTTCGGGCATTTTTCCATGTCCCATTCTGTAGTGGGGTTACTGATGATGCTAAAGAGATTGACCGCACTACTTACTTTTCGTTTTATAAGTAGTCTGTTCAAGATATGATAAAAGAGCTGTATTCATTCTGTTTCATTTAAGCCGATGAAAAACGGGCAATCGGCGAGTAGTCTTGTTCTCTCACGAGGTTTCCAATCCAGTCGACCGACGACTGAGCAACTCCAACAAATAAATCGTCGACGCTCCGTCGGGAAAGATCGTCGCGTTCACTCAAAACGTGGCCAATCGGGAAGGCGCATGTCTGCCTGAAAATTGCCCATCCTACAGTTTCTGGGCGATGCCAAGTCATAAAAAAAATGTAAACTTCGTAAAAAATAGTTAACTCACTCTGAAAAATGACAGAGGTCTCTTTTCGGCCGGGGTTCTGAAAAGAGCGATGTATATGTAGAGGGCTTCTACACCGTCAGACACGAAAAGCGACACTGGATTGGCTTTGTCTGCAAGAAAAATGTCAAAAAACAACAATATTAAAACGCTAGCCAGTTCGTATTAATGACAGAGATGTTATTCATTTGCAGATTGTTTAAACTGATTCCACTCGAAGATGCGATTTCGAGAGCGCTTCTATCAAAGTTGACTATCCTATCGGTTTTGCACTCAAATTGTACCAGCAAGGATCCAAACAAAGTAGACACAAAGCAAAAACCATACAAATAGCGCATCTTTGTTGACGGTTGCGCATTACTTGGCCCAGCAACAGTAACGATGTCCCTTTGAATCAGGTGAATATGCTTCTTCTTCTTCTTCTTCTGTTTAGCTTCAGATAGCTATCGCGACAGGCTTGTTCATTTTAGTATAACCAGTACATACTACTTATATCCATATTAGTTGCACGCGAGTAGTGCGATTTGAGCCGATATGGCCGAATAGCTCCCAAAAACTCTGGAACTGAAATTCACTTAGTTGCTTTAGTTTGTTAGTTAGTTAGAGGCTGCAGGCATAGATGGTTTCAAGGGATGCCTTCGACTGTACCAGTGACAAAGTGGTACAAGTTAGTAGAAGAATAGGGAAAACGGGACTCGGATCCGAAACCTATTTGTGGAAGTGAACAACTGCAGTATTCGAGATACG